GTGGTCTATTGCTTCAGAGGGTTCAAGACTTAAAATCGGTTGAACTTGTGACACATATTTAATAAGACACATTATGGGGGAAAAGTAGTATGGGGGCGCAAATTCAAATTTCATGCTCTTTTTCTCAACTCTGAGTATTGTGTCTTGTTTAGGATAAACAGGATTGAACTTGAACCACCTCCCCTAAGTGCTGCTTTCATTTTCTGTTTCAAAGACTATCCTGCTTCGTTCAAGTTGCAGTCTCACCCCAGCCTATGATAGGCATTCTGCGCCGGGAAAAATGGGGCGAAGAATTTTCCTCTCCGCAGCAGCTCCTCACTCGAAACTGCTGGCAAATAGCGTAACACATCATATAATTTCAATCATCGATGAGTGTGTTCTAAATTTTCACAAGTGTAGCGAGTATTCCAGTTTCACCAATACCGAGGGATCTTACAAGTGCTCTTACAATCCTGAATTCAGCGGGGATGGCGTTAAGGATAATAACTGTTAGATAAATATCAAGAAGTTTATAGAATGCTTAGTCATGCTTGCATCCATGCCATGGAACTTTCTAGAACATTCGATTATGTCACGTAGTCATGATGCAATACTTCCAAAATAGTTGTGTTGTAAGCTACCGGGATGTTCTAGAATACTTTGTAAATGTTTATATGGACCCATTCGTGTCGTAATAGTAGTTGCTGCTGTCGAGAGTTATCAAGTTACTTTGAAAGATTGTTTATTTTGAGGAACTTTGGAAACAGCTGCGATATAGACTGTAGTGGGCTTAAGTGAAGTTTATTTTTGTACTGTTTTTAGTAACAGCTACTATTAAAAACATCACAAGTTTTGTTAATAAATTAGTTAGTTTGTAGGATTGTGGAGTTCTTTCTGTCGGTCAGATTATACCGCAATAATATTGATAACTGCAAAGATATCATCCTGCAAAGCATGATCTTGTTAAACAGAAAAATTACACGTGCATTCCTTACTCCCTAAAAACACCCATTAGCCCCGTGAATAATTCTAGTCGTGACAAAAAAATTCATATACTTTCGTTATATTGACTCATCCCCTTCTCATAATTATTCTTTATCGCTGTACCTGAAACACAGTCGATTTGATTTCAGACATTGACGAATGTTCTAAAAACAGTCATAACTGCAGCTACTCAACTGCCACTTGCACCAATACCAATGGATCATTCAAGTGCATTTGTAAACCTGGATTCAGTGGTGATGGACACAACTGCACAGGTACTGAACACTATTTAGAGCATGATAATTTGTCATTTCACCACAACAAAACCTACGCAACTGGCCGAAGTAGAGTCATTGTATATACAAACCTGTTATTATTAAAAACGTAATGGTCATATAGTGGAGCCCTCTCTCCCCTTTTCCCAATTAGCTTGAGTGTTCGTAATCATGGTCATGAGCACGGTGTGTTGATTCCAATTCAGACATCGATGAATGTGCCACCAATACCCACAACTGCAGCAAGGACAATGCCACTTGTACAAACACCGCTGGGTCGTTCAACTGTTCTTGTAATCCTGGATTTGTTGGAGATGGACACATCTGCCAGGGTAAGATCTTACACATCACATCTTATGCCACATAGCCTTTATGACGTTTGCATAACCGCAGACGTTTGACTACTGTGTTAACATCGTGTATCACGAATTTTGAACACACTATTGGGTTCATTTCAGACATCGGCGGAGATGCTGAGAATACCTCCAACAGTAGCAATGAAAACGCTATTTGCGAAAATTCCGATGGATCTTCGAAGTGTGTATGTAACCCTGGATTCAGTGGGGATGGACACAATTGTACAGGTAATAAATTTTCTTCAGGCCATATCAGTCATTAATGAAGGCGTTACAAATAATGACCTGATATTCTTGTTGTTATAATAATGAAAGAACCCTAAATATCTTGGAAGAAGTTGCGTTTGATGATCCAGATAATACTTCACTCTTTTTTATTCAATTGGATATACAATTATTGTCTGTTAAACTTGATCAGCAGGCGTTGTTGTCGTTTCGGTCATTTTTTTTTCATTATTTTATTATATATACATATATATATATATTTTTTTTCCATTCCCCCTCCTACAATCATGGTGGCACATATCATTTTGTTAATTTCATTGCAGACATTGATGAGTGTGCTCAGGATACCCACAACTGCAGTAGGGACCATGCCACTTGTACAAATACAGAGGGATTGTTCAACTGCTCTTGTGATCCTGGATTCAGCGGGGATGGACACAACTGTGCAGGTGTGATAATTTTTCACAGTATGATTGCTTTCCCGTTTCAGCAAGTAAAACATACATGGCCTGATCTTCTTGTCCACAAAAATGTCAAAAGAGTCCCACTCTTTTTCGTTGCTTCTATGACACAACATTTGATGAACATAATTATGACTTACGTTTGCCTATTTAATTTTTTGTGACTGATTAAGTTGTCTTTACTGCAAGTTTTGCATGGTATATTGAAGCCTCGTTACTTTTATGAGATTGAGTACAATCGGTTGATTTCATTGTAGACATCGATGAATGCGCTACAAATACCCACAACTGCAGCAGGGACAATGCGACTTGTACAAATACCAAGGGATCGTTCAACTGCTCTTGTAGTCCTGGATTCACCGGCGATGGACACAACTGTAAAGGTGACGAAAATTATCAAAGCATGGTGTTCTGTAGTATCAGCACATAAAACGTTCAGATCTCCTGGCATAAAATACGACATACACGATGATCTGAGATTCTAGACACTGGATTAACAGGTGCGACTGTCATTTCCACAATGCAAATTGGGGACCTACCCCGGCCCCCATTCCCCTTTTGCCCGGCTACTCATTATCATGATCATGGTACGTTCTGTTGATTTCATTTTAGACATTGATGAATGTGCTGCAGATACGCACAATTGTAGCAGAAACAATGCTACATGCACAAATACCGAGGGATC